AAATCCAGCGGGTGATATTTTATATAATTAATATCATGTAATTACGTTCTTCTACGATAGCAGTAGCAGTTGGCTCTTCTCCCACCCGTTAGGCACGTGGGTGCCCTGGGCAGCCTGACTTGGGGAGCACCTGTGCTGCCACTTCTAAATCCCAAGGAAGTGTTGACTCAGTTTATGGTAAAGATAATTCCAGGAAAGTTTAATCTGCTGACAGTCCAACCAAGGTGGCTAGAAATTCAGTCTGGTTCAACCCTGTGGTGTAGGACTCATGCTTCTACGTGGTATGAGATGTAAGAGATACTCAGGACTCTCTAAAGGACTTTTTTTGGAAGTCAATATTATTTCAGTACTTAAAAATTAGGAAACAAGGCTTAGGAATTTGGTGGTATGCCTCTTGAGCCCGCCGTGAAAAGTGAATCTATAGTGTGTGGGAATTTAGGAAACAAGCCAACTTTTATGTGAAGGCCATTTTTTAACTCCGTATGGTGTAAAATAGCTTAAAATCGTACTCACATTACAACTAAAACTATAAAAAATAGGTTGTGGGAAAGGGAACTGTGTGAAAATGTCTGCCTTATTGAGCATTAGGTTTTAATGTCTTCGGTTTTTCTATACTTGGTGTTTTGTTTGTTTTGATCGGGCAGCTCCTGACCGAATAGGGTTCAGGAAATACTCCTAATGTTCTTGCTTTTATAATTTCAAATGTTGGTCGTGGCGCGGTGCGCTCACGCTGTAATCCTGCATCTCTGGGAGCCGAAGCAGGGCGATTGCTCGAGGTCGCAGGAGTTCGAAACCAGCCTGAGCAAGAGCGAGACCCCGTCTCTCATATAAATAGAAAGGAATTAATTGGCCAACAATATATAGAAAAAATTAGCTGGCATGGTGCGCCATGCCTGTAGTCCCAGCTACTCGGGAGGCTGAGGCAGCAGGATGCTTGAGCCCAGGAGTTTGAGGTTGCTGTGAGCTAGGCTGACGCCACGGCACTCCACTCTTAGCCTGGACAACAAAGTGAGACTCTGTCTCAAAAAAAATTATCGATATATATATATATATAGCATATATAGTATAATTTTAAATGTTAAAGATACAGTGCTGGACTGGTGAGAATGAATCACTTGAGAATAAGGAAGTGAGCATGTCTCTTCAGCAAATCAGGTGCGAGTTTATATGGATAATTTTTAGGACGTGCCCCACTTTGGCTGAGACTTCTTTCGCTGCTTAGATCTACTTGCAGGGAAGCCGGGGAGATTGGTGAATTTTTGCTGTTTTGAAACCTACCTATTTATTCCATGACTACCGGGTAGAATTGGGAGTTGAACAGAGGGAACGTCTCAGTGCAATTAATTAGCTATTAAATCTAGGTAATAAAGGAAATAATTTTTAGTTACAAAGTCAATATATGCTGTCTTGTGCTGGACAATTTTAATCCATTACCTCACTTTAAGGAGTGATTTTGGAGGTGAGGTGAGAGCGCTAGTAAGGGCAAAGTCTGGATTGAAACAAGCTTATCAAAATTCGCGCATCCTGCTAGTCCTGGCATTTAGAGCTGCAGGGTACGTTGCTTGTTTTATAGGGTTTCCCGGAATCTGATCATGTCATTGAAAAAATTATACAGGTGGTGCTGAAGGTCACAACAGGAAGTTATTCAAGGCCAGTCGCGGTGGGTGGGAGCTGGTTGAGCCTCACTCCGACCGGTATAGCTGCCTGTGTGTGCTTTTGAGTGTCAGTTTGAAATTTAAAAAGTGGTGGCGCTTCCCAGCAAATGATGTTGGCCATGTTACAGATCTCTCTGAGCTTGGTCCATAATACCTGACATGGAGATGCTGATAAGACTTCTTGGATTGATACTGTACAAACGTTGGCAAAATATTCAGGGTTGGCCGGGCGCTGTGGCTCACGCCTGTAATCCTAGCTCTTGGGAGGCCGAGGCGGGCGGATTGCTCAAGGTCAGGAGTTCGAAACCAGCCTGAGCAAGAGCGAGACCCGTCTCTACTATAAATAGAAGAGAATTAATTGGCCAACTGATATATATATAAAAAAAAAAATTAGCGCGGCATGGTGGCGCATGCCTGTAGTCCCAGCTACCCGGGAGGCGAGCAGAAGGATCACTCGAGCCCAGGAGTTTGAGGTTGCTGTGAGCTAGGCTGACGCCACGTCACTCACTCTAGCCTGGGCAACAAAGCGAGACTCTGTCTCAAAAAAAAAAAAAAAAAAAAAATATTCAGGGTTGATTAAGAATTAAAGTGTTGGCCGAGTGCGGTGGCTCACGCCTGTAATCCTCGCACTCTGGGAGGCAGAGGCGGCAGATTGCTCCAGGTCAGGAGTTCAAAACCAGCCTGAGCAAGAGCGAGACCCTGTCTCTACTATAAATAGAAACAAATTAATTGGCCCACTAATATATACACAAAAAATTTAACGGGCATGGTGGCGCATGCCTGTAGTCCCAGCTACTCGGGAGGCTGAGGCAGGAGGATTGCTTGAGCCCAGGAGTGTGAGGTTGCTGTGAGCTAGGCTGACGCCAGGGCACTCACTCTAGCCTGGGCAACAAAGTGAGACTCTGTCTCAAAAAAAAAAAGAATTAAAGTGTTACTGGTTTCTACCTTGGGGGTTGTCAGAATTACAAAAGTGCTTGGAACACAACAAAATTTTTAATAGACTATTTTAATATTTGGAAAAAAGTTTTAGAGAAGAGCGTTATTTCGTTTGTTCCCAGCAGCCTCTCCTCTTCCTTCCTCCACGGACCTGCTGATTCAGGACAGCCCCGATTCTTCCACCAGCCCCAAAGTAAGACTACCCGCTTTGGCACAGAAGAGTGCCTTGAAGGAGGACAAGGCCCAGGTCAAGAAACAGAAGAGCAGAACGGTGTTCTCTGCCACCCAGCTGTGTGTACTCAATGACAGGTTCCAGCGGCAGAAATACCTCAGCCTCCAGCAGATGCAAGAGCTTTCCAACATCCTCAACCTCAGCTACAAACAGGTGGGATGGTTTGGTTTTGTCACTGCAATACGATAAACAAAAATAGGGCACCATGGACTCTCTATATTTTGCCCACTGTGGAGGCCTTTGACATGCATCTTTATTAAAAATCAAAATGTATCCAGGCTATTGAACGTCAGCATATGAATAGTGAAATTGTTACACAGCCTATCTCATGCCATTCTTGTTAGCTGACTGGTATTTTTTTACTAAGGAGCAACCCATTCCAGCATAACAATAAGATAACCTTGAAGTACCAGTATGGCAAACTTGTATTTTTTTTTTTCTTTTTGAGACAGAGTCTCACTCTGTTTACCTGAGTAGAGTGCCCTGGCGTCATTCTAGCTCACAGCAACCTCAAACTTCTGGGCTCAAGGGATCCTCCTGCCTCGGCCTTCCAAGTAGCTAGGACTAAAGGGGTGTGCCATGACACCCTGCTAATTTTTCTATTTTTAGTAGATACCGGGTCTCGCTCTTGTTCAGGCTGGTCTTGAACTCCCAAGCTCAAGTGATCCTCCCACCTCGGCCTTCCAGAGTGCTAGGTTCAATTTTTTTTTTTTTTTTTTGAGACAGAGTCTCACTTTATTGCCCAGGCTAGAGTGAGTGCCGTGGCGTCAGCCTTAGCTCACAGCAACCTCAAACTCTTGGGCTCAAGCATCCTCCTGCCTCAGCCTCCCAAGTACTGGACTACAGGCATGCGCACCATGCCCAGCTAATTTTTCTCTATAATTTTTAGTTGGCCAATTGATTTCTTTCTATTTATAGTAGAGACCGGGTCTCACTCTTGCTCAGGCGGGTTTAGAACTCCTGACCTTGAGCAATCCACCC